TTAAAATTTTGAGTTTAGAAGATCAAATACCAGATTATTATCCTAAGAGAAATAACAGATTCAGAATTCATAAAAAAAGTGACACAATGAGGGGACTTATAGCTTAAATCCCACAAGGGATCTAAGTAGCCCCAACCTGGATTTACCACCCTGCTCGGAAAGGGGTACCAGCTAAACTTTACCTAGCGTATCAAATCCATGTTGTCTAGTCTTATGTAAATGAAAGAGTGATGGGATGTATAAAAGGAAATGGGTATCAAACCCGACTATGAATGGTACTATGCAATGCAAAGTGAACTATCCCTCTATGTTGAAAAGGAACAAAAATCTATATGCTGACTTCAGGGCTGTGCATGTGAGGGTAGGGCCAATTAAGATTGGCCAATAGTCACTACGAAGTGAGCAAGGCTTATTTATTGTAATTTTAAGAAGTGATCCTTTAAAGGAGTCATGAATTAATTTTTTAGAAAAATTGGTTGATTTTAATCCTATGTTCATTTTTTATCTTTCCTTAAATAAATTTAACTTTATAGAAAATTTAACATCCTAAAGAGCCTAACGTTGATTCCGTCCGAGCCACACCCAAACAAAACAATTTAAGAAACCTAGGAAAAAGTATGCAGTTCTAATGCGCAAACAAAGTAAACACAACAAGCCAGCAAAATAGAGTCTCCAAAGTCCATGGCAAGTGCCATTCAATATACAGCCAAAGTACAGAAAAATAGTGGTGGCCAGGCTCCACCGACAACAACCTGGATTCTATCCCTATGGAATGACGCAAGTCTTAAAAAATGAGATATTTTATTTATCTTTAGCTTCTTTCCCTTCAGGCTCCTTGTGTTGCACCATCCAATAAGATATCCAAATGAGAAGAAATTCCCTATAAAGGATTTTCTTTTCGCTTTGGATCCCTAACACATCAAAAATATCTCATTTTTAAACTTTCACAACACTTTAGATCAAATTACATCTTATATAAATAAAAAAAAGTTACATTGACTCCCTACAAAAAATACATATTAGCACAGTTATAATAAAAATCATACATCATCCAGAACCTAGTCCTTAGGGCCATATTCCCAAGGAGGCTTTTTAGCATTCCTCGCAGTACCTATTAAAGAGCATATTTATGATGATAGCATTTTTATATTACCCATTAGGAACATGGCCACCTGCAGAAGATATTTCTAAAAAGAGATCTAACCACTTAAGGGCAAGTGCCCACTCATCAATCAAAAAGGAAAAGAAAATAACCAAAGAAAATAAACTAAGCCAGAAACAAACATCACATCATCACATATGCAAATTATAAAAGAAAGAAAGTGTAAAAGGGTTATCCTATCTACACCCTACCCTAGGATGCCTATAAAAGAAGTGTCCTATCCAGCACCTAAGTGTGTGCAAAAAGGTGTACCTAACTACCCCAAATTAGGTGAGTGGTTTGAGTTACAAGGTCGAGTTCTTATTGTTTAATTTATTAACCATCAAGTTTTCATTTAAGTCCTTAATCATTTGAGATGAATTAATTAAAACTTAATTTTGAGATTAAAATTTGAGTTATTAAATTATCAAGAGCCTAAAGACTTAGGCCCTAGCCTATGCTAAGATTATAAAGAATTGAGGGGCAAATGGCCCATCCTCAATCCTACTCCTAATTAAGGCTGAAATTATTAAAAGATGGCAAGGGTTGGTTATTCCTTCCCTTGGTAATAATCTAAGACTCGAGGAATGGCTAAGGGTGACACCACTAAGATGGGCCCATTACCCACCATGAAAAGAAAATCCTAAGCTTCCTATGTCTAAGGTAAATTTATTTTTAAAGGCTGACATGAGAGTGGAATGACACGCTACCTATAGAGATGTACATGAGTTCTACCTGATTTAAGTTATAACACTTGGGTGACTAAGGTAGTTGGTTTAGGTCGCTAAAGATTGATTTAATCTTTTCTAAAAAAGGGGCAATTTACATAGACGTTTGCATAGCACAAAGGTGAATGTAAATTCCATATAGGTTAAGGCACTAAGGCATATCTTGAAATTCCTTTCCTCCTCCAATAGGTTTATTTTGGGTTGCTTACAATTAAGAAACTTTAGTTTAAGTTCAAATATTAATGTCTTAATGCTTTGTTAAACACTAGAAGATTGGTCGAAGAGATTTTAATGATCTTAATTTAGTTTCACCTTAATTAATGTAGATTATTATAAACGATTTAGTTAATAGTTGATAAGAGATGTATTTTATAAATTTTAGGCTTCTATTCGACTAGTTAAGGACTTTTAAAGTTGCATGTTGGTTAAGGGGTTGCAATCATGAAGCTAATCAAAAGAAGCTACCTAACATACTAGAGCTCATATTTTATTTCATTTTTGTATATTTTTCTTATCATGCTTGTGAGAGACATTTAGAGGCCCAAAAAAATCATTAAGGAAACAATATTTATAATTATTTAAATATTTTTAAAACCCAAGAAAAAACCATCCTAGCGATGCCCACTTCGTGTGAAAAAAAACGATGCATATGACACACATGGGTGGCCTACACTACAGGCCTAAATGACCATAAGAGTCTCTAGGTTTCATGACAAGGGGGCAAGCTTTGGCCCACAAGGCCAAAGCTTCGTTAGTGGACTAACTTATGGCCGGCTAACTAAACATCCTAGCAATTATATTTGGGTGGGAAAGTAAAAGCAGTCAAATGTGTGTGCTAATGTGTAACCATTCGGAAATACAATGAGGAGCCTCTACAGGACTATCAAGATGTACCTGACCCGGGCGCGCCCACTCAAAAGTTCCCGTGCAAATGACCCATCAACCAACATGTACATAATTCCGAAGGTACCTCATAAGACAAAACAAAAAGAGAAGGACATGGGTGAGCGTAGATGCCATTCATTAAAGAGATGCAAGTGAACAAAATTTGTGACTTTAAAATTTATCTCAAATGCATAGGAAAAAGAAAGATAGCATGTGGGTGAAAAGTATACAAACAAGTGATGGTGGCATATAAGGTAATGTGCGTATTCGAATCGTCAAATGAAATCATACATATGAAACATGAAGATTCTTTCCTCTAATGGCTAGCAAACAACTACCAAACATAAGATATTTGAAATCATATTAGCATGAGTAAGGGGAGTTGCACATGAGACATACGACATTTTACAAGTTTATTCACACATACGTGAAATACATGAAAGCCAATCAACAAAAACATACGACTATATAGTATATGTTTTAGCATATCCATAAATATCTTTGCAAACAAACATATGATTTCGCTCAACCATGATATCCAAGCATGACTTTGAATGTAGCACTATTTTTTTTTAGATCAAACTTTACTAAACGTGTTCATGTTTATGAAATCATAATAAGTTTATAACACTAAACTTTACCTAATATACTCATTTCAATGAGATTGTAGCAAAACCTTACTAAGAATATCAACATTAATGAAATTATAAAATGAACAATCTACTAGATGGCATGGAACATATACATAGATTCTATAAAATCACGAGCACGAGTGATGATCTTGATATGAAACGTATGAGCTCACAAGTTAGAGATCAAATCATGAAACCAAACTTGGCTTATGTATGCAATGAAATGAATAATCAAATACTTGTAAACTCTAACCACCATATCGAATTCAAGTTTGATACAAGATACCACAAATTAATAAAACAACCAAATAGATATGCTTCAAAGGAAATAACTTCAAGAACATATATATTTTTTTATATCACATGTCTACCCTTGATCGTCATTTATAAGATGAGCACGACTATAGACAAGAATCAAGCATAGGCATGCATGATACACCTCCCACTAAATCAGAACTTGCTTTGTCCCCCATCCTTCTATATATATAATCAAATTACTTATGTATATTATTATTTAAAATTTGAAGATGTCCAATCGATCATGAGATACGAAAGCATACAAACAAATCTAATTGAATGTTATGATATGGAGTAACAAGAGCCGACCATGAAATTAAGGCGTGAACGTACACATTGATTTGAGCATACATACTAAGTGCAAAATATAGGCGAAAAAGCAAACACAAATCATCTTTTATTCACAATATTTTCTTCCTACAACCCTCCCTTATAAGCAATTATTCTCATGTACATTTTTAACCAAAGCTCATTCTACAAAAGCAAACTATAAATTAAATGGTGGAATCATATATACAGCCATGAACTAATATCCCTTTACAGGATGAACACAATTGCAAGTGAATGCAACAAAATTATCGTGTCTATAATTTTTATATAAAGTTCTAATACAACTAAAGTCACTATACTAACTATTGAAAAGAAATTTTCGTTAAATGACTAAAGTGCAAGGTTAAAATAATGAAATACATGAAAAATCTTCTAGTGTAGATGAAAAATAAGAAAAGAAAATTTTATATCATATAGTCTCAAATATGTACGAGAAGCATTCAAATCAACCTGTGGATTTTTTTTTACTTGTTACCAAAGATTCATGCAGTACTATGACTCAAGCATTTTTTTAATTTTTTTTTCACAGTAAACATTCCACATGTACTATCTCTTAGCAAATCTAATAAGCATACTAACTGATATTTGATCATCAAAGCAATGTAATATTTAGTCAAATCCAAGACAGTTATTATTTACAAAATACTCATATATAAAAGAAAAGGGCTCTTTATCTTAATTAGCACGAAACGTAAAAAAAGAAACATGTAAATTCAACCAACAAATACACATACATTTTTTTTAATTAGGTAGATGACCTCATAACCAACATACACGTGTAAGTCTACTAACAAATCTATGTAACTAGTGCAAATGTGTCAAACGTATATATGAAAATCTTTATAATCTAGTCATCGTTTCTTCGGATATACATATGCCTTTGGGATTTCACATGGATAAGACTAGCACGTTGATCTCTTCAAGGCATTTAATCAAATACCTTACATGCATTTTTTATAACAAAAAGGATCATGGCTTCTCATGATTTTTTTTTTTACAACCTAATCATAAAACTTCAAATATGTAAGATGGTAACCATAAAACAAAAATACATAATTCATTCATCAAATAGTCATGTTACATTATTGAACAAATTGTTTGCCTCTAATACTCTCATTCCAGACAAATAGAAATTACTTACAAGAATACATTTTCCTTACATAGGAAGGTAATGAAGAGGGTGGGAAAGATGGAGAAGAAAGGAGTTAGGAAGAAGAAGAGGAGGTGGAAAATCACCTGCAGCAAAGGGGAAAGCCGGTGGCTAGGACAGATTGGCGACGAAGCTCTGACGGGTTCAGCTAGGATGGGTCTCGAGCAAGCTTCGGCGGGGCTTGGGCTTCTCCTGCTCGTGCGAATCCAAGGAAGACGAGAGCAAGGAGGCGGCAACTCCTCTGCTGGACGGACCGATCAAAGGATCGGGAATGATGGAGGGGCTTCGGCCTTTTTTTCTTGCTTGTGCGAATAGGGGACGGAGAGAAGACCGGAGCTCGGCGTCTAGTCTTGGGGTTCACAAGCAGCAGAGATGGAGCGGAGGGAAATAGAGAGGCTTTGGCTTTTGCGCGAGAAAGGGACTTCGGCTCCTCTTGCGAACGGAGAAGAGACGGAGAGCGGGTGGTGGAATTTTTCTTGAGGGAGACCAAGCTAGGGCCGGCTGTTCTGCATGGATGATTGTTGTGTCTTTAAAAAAAAAGTCTGTCCCACTTGTCCGAATCGAATGGCCATCTCTTAGAAAACTCTTAATCAGATGGCTCAAATTGAATCTGCTCAGTAGCTCCAATAGTCCAAATAACTCTCATGCATATGTCTTTTTTATGGAAAACCTGCATATCCTTTTCTTTTTTTCTGCAAAAAAAAACTGATGCAAAGATCACTCCAAAGTTATCATTATTATCTCCTTCTTTATCTTAACCATTGGATCAAAGAAGGTGCAATTTATTATAATAAAGTGGACAAGAAAATTTCTATTTAATGACACAATTCATTTTAATAAACTTAACCCGACAAAAGTTATATTATTTTATTATATATTAATAATATTATTATTATATGTATATACTTTGTTTGGTATTTTGAGGATAATCCCAGAAGGTGGATCAATCTACAAAATGCAAGACAAGACAGTGTGAGTGACCAATGCCGAAAATGAGGTCAACAAACACAACCCCAACATGTGCGGCGAATGACAAGTGAACCGTACATGTTGGCGTTGACCTCCCTAACTCTAGGAAGGTACAACCAAACAACCAATAAAGCAGTTCAACAAACATTCAATCACACAACAATCCTGCAATAAGTGTCCCACCATGCTATGATCACACATCATACAATGGTCACCCAAGCATGCAATCATACAATCATATGATAATCATAAACTCACTCAACAATTATATAATTACACAATTTTCGCATACTCATGACAACCAACAATCTACACAAAATCATATAATGAGTAATCCAACATGCAATGGTTATTTTATAATCACACAATCATGTAATAACCACGCACACAATTACATAAGCATATAACAATTAATTAATTATGTAGTGATCACACAATACTTATACAATCACATAGGCATACAAAACTTAATTAGTCATATAGTGATCACACAATAAAAATATAATCGAACAAGCATACAAAAATCAATCAATTATATAGTGATCACACAATACTAATATAATCACACAAGCATATAAGAAATCAATCAATTATGCGATAGTCAGGCTATAATCTCATGAGCATGCAATGATCATGCACTCATACAATAATTAATAAAATCCTATAATGATCATACCACAATCACACTATCATGCAATAGCCAACACTCATTCAATAATCAATCAGTCCTGCAATGACCACCTAATAATCATATGATCATCTAATGATTACTCGCTAATACAATCATTAATCACTCATGCAATAATCACCCAACAATCACATGAACAAATAATGATCACACACAAATATAATAAGCAATCAATCATGCAATGCTCACACCATAATCACATAATAATGCATATATGGTGGGACAAGGGAGGGAAATAATCTAACACTCGCCAAACAGATCTAAACGACGAACGAGGACAACTTGAAACTCACTCGACTGGATCAAAATAGTGAGAAAGAGCAAGGAAAAATTCGACAACCTGACCGAAAATCTAACGGTGAGGAAGGATAAGGGAAATTCGATAGCCTAAGAAAAACTCAACAATCACTCAGAAAGTCAACAACCACTAGACAAACTCAACAATCACTCGACTGGAGGTCGAGGGTGAGAAAAGACAAGGGACGCTCGACGATCACTTGGCACATATGCCGAGATGATACGAAGATGACAAGGAAACATTCAACGAACACTTGGAGCATCTGCCAAGGTGAAACGAAGAGGACAAGAAAACACTCAATGATCACCTGGCGCATATGCCAAGGTGATAAGAAGAGGACAAGAAACACTCAACGAACACCCGACCGTGAGTCTAGCGGTGAAGAGGAAAGGAAACACCCTCGCTCGACCACAGGCCACGAAAGAGCGAAGTCCCTACTCGACCATAGTTCTGTCGATAGGATAAAGCAGAAACTGAACGATCACCCGACCATAGGTCTATGAGTGAAGAAAAAAGGAACGAGAGCAGCCTCACTCGGCCACAGGCCATGAAACAGCGAGGTCCCTACCCGACCATAGGTCTGTCGGTAGGACAAAGTGAAAAGGAACAGTCACCCGACCATAAGTCTGTCGGTGAAGAGAAAAGGAAAGAGAGCACCCTCACTCGGCCATAGGCCATGAAACAGCGAGGTCCCTACCCGACCATAGGTCTGTCGGTAGGACAAAGTGAAAAGGAACAATCACCCGACCATAGGTCTGTCGGTGAAGAGAAAAAGAACACATTCGCCCGGCCACAGGCCATGAAACAGCAAAGTCCCTACCCGACCATAGGTCTGTCGGTAGGATAAAGCAGGAAGGAACAGGAGCACCCTCGCTCGGCCATAGGCCCCGAAACAGCGAAGTCCCTACCCGACCATAGGTCTGTCGGTAAGACAAAGCAAAAATTCAACAATCACCCAACCATAGGACTGTCGGTGAAGCGAAGAGGAAAGAGAGCACCCTCGCTCGGCCATAGGCCCCGAAACAGTGAGGTCCCTACCCGACCATAGGTCTGTCGGTAAGACAAAGTGAAAATTCAACAATCACCCGACTATAGGTCTGTCGGTGAAGCGAAGAGGAAAGAGAGCACCCTCGCTCGGCCATA